AAAAAGAAAAAAAAAAAAAAAGAAAAAAAAAAAGTCAGCGGCCACTCGTTCTCCAGACGGCAGGCAGCTGCTGCTGCTGTCGACTTAGAGGATCCCTGACTCATGGAAATTATACGCTGAATTGTGTAATAAAGGGTTTAATGAGCCTCCATGCTTGATTCTGGTGCACCGTCTTTTTTTCCGATCTGCAAAAAACGGAGATAACATTAATTAATTTATGTCCAATATATAAACGAAAAAAAAAGTATTAACAATCATTTTTCCTTTTATTTGCACTAAAGTTTGACATGCAATAGACTCCTGTCTTGTGAGCAATTTGGTTTTTAGTAAAGGTGTCGTCATGTCTCCACGAAACCAAATATAGATGCTCGTTTAAGGCAGTTAAGGCAAGAAGTTGACATCATGAGATTCTATCCAGACAAAAAAATATCGGCTGACGAAACAGAATCTTGGATGATTTCAACATATAATCTCCGACTTTTAAGCTTCTTCTGTTACTTTAGAGCTTACGCGAATCAACTACTTGTGTTGGTTTCACACGATGCTTTATATGAAACAGGAAAAGAGCCTGGCAGAAGAAAAAAGGAGCCTGGAGGAGGTATAAAACTCAGTACATATAAATAATGAAGCTTTAATTATCGCAACGATTATTCATTATTCTTCTGCTCCTCATTGCACTTACAGATTACCGGAAAAAATCGAAATGCGAGGGGAAAGAAGATGATTGTGGATCTCAACGTTGCTGCAGACGACCAAATGACCGAGTAGTAGAAGTCATTTAAAAAAACTTTTCATTTTATGTATAAAAATAACTCCGCAGCATCTTAATTAACAAAACACAGGTAATAAATAAAAAGCTGCTGCTAAACGGGATATCTCTCTACCTTCTGTATTGTGACGTGAGCGAGGCTCTTGTTTCATTCACCATGTAAGCTATTCTCGAGCCCTCTTCTTTATTCAGGCTATACTATACTGCTGTATTTATTCGTGGTTTTATAATAATGTAATATGAACTTGTTATAATACTCTTACTCTTCATAGGGTTGTTTGATAATAGGGGGTTGAGCTTGGACTCAATATCATTTATACGCTTGGTTAAATTCCGGGCCCGTTTCTAATCACGGGCTTGGAACCTAAACCCCCAAACATTTTATACATCTTGATTACATTGCATAATCCTCGCAAGAAAAAAGAAAACGAGAGCAGAAAAGAACCTATGTATTCTCTTGCTACAACTCAAATTTGACGGAGAAACCTTAACATACATTACGATCATAAGAAAAAATCGGGCTTTATGATTTTCTCGTCTTTTGGCTATCTTAACTCGTCTCAGAGTGCTCAATGAAAAATATTTAGTTTTTTCCTGATCCTAGAAAACTTATCTATTCAGTTAACTTACTGCTCTGGATAAACAAGGCTCCGAAACGAGTCCATAACCGAGTTTTCGGTTAGACGACAGCTAGGCATAAAAATTTCAATTGGCCCTGCACCTAAAAACAATTGCGTTCCTACTCGTTCAGATTTTTATGGTAAGAGCTTGCCTTTTTTGTACTATAAACAACTGTTGCTATTCTTTCCAGTTCTCTATGTAAAAGAGCAGCCTTCCTTTATATTCTGATTCTAGGAATATATACGGGATACTTGAACTTATTACCATTATCCCAAAGCCCGGACTTTCAATACGATCGTCCGAAAATATATTTCATATAATATGATTCCAGGAATCTCACCTCAATGTATATTGACATTCCAATATATAGTTTGTCAAACTCTGCTATTTTGAATTTATAAGGAGTTCCGATGAAGCATGCATTGCATGTAATTGAGCTGAACACGAATCGAACCTAAGAAACTTTTTTTTGTTTGTATATAGATATTTTATTATTTTCGTTTTAATAGAGTGCAACTCAAGATGAACTTCTTCTCACTCCTAGTATGGTTCGTTTAGAATAACGGACGGATCTCAAATGGAGCAACTCACTTCGGTTGTTAGCCCTAATTATGCATTTTAGTAATTAGAAGTATTGTACTCACTATCTACATCCAAAAATTACTTTTGGATAATTAATGTCAGCAACATTTAGAACTTTTTTTAGTTGTCGATTTAAATTAGGGCGACTTAATTTGATTTTTAGCCCTTGTTACGCATACACCTCCATCCCGCATCTAAAAAATGTAGGATTGTGTGTCAGCTTATCAGAAGCCCCCTACTGCTATTGGACGCCAATACCTCCTATGGACTTTTGGGGGTAAGCTTGTGGTTGGCTCATTGTTGCCTAATGCTTTGGCTAAAATGTCACAAATAATATTGAATCCTACCCTGGACCGCTCGAACAAGCTCACCTTTGTTACAGGAGCCATTGTACATTGGTATCTTATTTAGGGCCCACAAGTGAGGTCGTCAATGATTTAAGTGGGATAGTTTGTAAGACTGGTTTCACCTTGGAAAAATGTGCGATTGTGTGTCAGCTTATAAGGTAGCCCGCCACTACTATTGGTTTCGGCATCAATACCTTCAATGGGTTCAAATGGGTTGGGCTTGTGTTGCCCCAGTGCTAAGTGGGCCAGTATGTTAGCTAACGACCGGGTTGAAAAGCTCGAGGGGTGTTACAGTTGTGCCAACTACATACATCTAAAATTTATTGTATGATGCTCAATAACTATTGAATCATGCAATTATAGAAATGTGGGTCGTATACTGAACAATGTAAATTTCGTCAATTAGAAAGAGATCCAATGACCGGTTCAACATCTAAGCATAAGAGTAGGGAGCGTAGCTAAGTTCAACTTATTGTGTTCTACTTTAACAAGAAAAAGAAAGCCTTCCACAAACTTAAGTTTGCATCATCAGATACAAAAAAATTAAAATACATTATATTGTGGAGTGAACTTACTACCTTATAAAATATCATCCTCAAAATCAACATGCTTTTATGTGTTTTCTTCGACACATGACGCTCTTCAAAGCGATTATTTTTACTATACATCACACAAATTTCTTCATCGGTCTTAAATGAACGAGTTCCCTCTCTCTCTCTCTCTTTCTCTCTCTCTCTCTCTCTCTCTCTCTCTCTCTCTCTCTTAGCATTTAATGTAAAGATCACACTTACCATCATTTTTTGAAGCAACAACTAATCCTTCTCAAACGACTATATTTTTCATTGTAAATTAAGGACGACATCCTTATATTCTATGTTTTGTAGATATATCCGTATGTATATATCGCAAATGAAGCGTACATATGCGACTCTACAGTGAAACACGGCATTCTAAAAAAATTACACTAGTGAAAGAGGTTCAAAGACACTATATAGGGTGTAAGAGAAGAAAAGTTATTCCTAGTGAGAAGAATAGTGAATATGGAGTTTGATATTAAAAGAGGCAAAGAGGACAAAGACAAAATGATTCTTTGTACAAAGTCCTTTAGCAAGATTACTAGAAAATGTCACTTTTGTGTACCTACCAACTTTTACACATATAATACTCCGACCGATCATCTTCTTTAGTTCTTTCTTTCCGATCGACATCGAAAAAACTCGAAAATGGCGACACATATTCTTCATCTTTTCTCTTCTTTCACAAGCTAGTGGAAATGAATTCTTTCCATTTTCCCGTCCGAGCAATATATATAACGTAAAGGTTTGAAAACATTCTCAACCTTTTTTTCCGCAATTTTCAATCTGAAAATCTATAATGTGAGCCGAGAGGGATTCAGCGGCCTCTTTAGTGAAAAACAAAAACAAAAACTACATCTTACCGGCGCTCGCTGTACACGTAATTTGGCTACGTACAATAAAATAAAAACCATCTATCAATCAAAACAAAAAACAATGAGCTTTTTTCTTTTCTTTTTTTCCAAGGACACTTCAATTCAAATATTTTCATAGGTTTTTTTTCAAATATAGCTTAAAGTTTAAACAAAAAGAAGTTCATTAACACAAAATGCATGCCGACCTCATCATCTCAAATTATGCTATCCCTCATTGGAAAAACCAAGTACATATTAGTTAGTTTAATTTGCCACGTCATCACCAGAGTTCTAAAATGAGATTTCTTCATTGATCAACAACCAATTCAACACACTCACAGACACTCTATCTATGTGCTGTGTGTGTGTGTGTGTGTGTGTGTGAGAGAGAGAGACGTACCTGCAGGAGCAATATTCACTCTCTACACTCAAAGTGAAGATGTGGCACCCTGGCCTGCTCTATATATATATATATATATATATATATATATACTTAATATATATTTACATGTACGAGTATGTGTATATACATACATGCTCCATGTATATCCGTTAACCAGGCGGTTCGGTGGGTCTTGGGACAACATATATATATATATATATTTTGAGATTATCTCTTTAATTTATTTCTGAAATTCTATCTACTAGTTATTCTTCTGCTTTAATATTTACCACTTCCACTCCTATATATATATATCCTATATATATATATATATATATATATATATATATATAGCTCCTACCAAAATTCTCTCTCTCTCTCTCTCTCTCTCTCACACACACACACACAAGAGTAAATCTGCCAAGAAATGCAAAAAACACTTTCATGTCAATGATACAAGAATTAAAAAAAAAAAAAAAAGCGGATCTGTGAAGCAGTTCTAAGCTTACAGAAAACTGGAGTTTTTGAGAATATGCTTCGAATGCTTTCAGCCATTATATTATTACCAAACAAATTAAAGAAACTTCCACACATATATAAAACCCTAGAAAAAAAAACTCATCCCCCCCCCCCCCCCCACGCGCCGGAACCCACCGCAACCCCTTACGGCAGCTTCCGATGTTAGGGTTTCATCATCCCTTTTGACAACGCTGAATCATATTTTGTTGGTATACCTAGAGAGAGAGAGAGGAGAGAGAAGAGGGGTAAAAAAGATCGACGAGCTAATATTACTGAAATACCAACAGATACAGTTTTATATATATGTAATTATGAATCTGATTTGGCAACACTGGTCTGCCCTTCAAAAGATATTTCTCTCCACTTGACCAAGCTTACTGCGTTACACGTGGCGAACTATGGTTTAGGACAATTGTACCATTTATTTATTTATTAACCCTTCCATCCCTCACCGCCTTGTCTTTTGGACCCATTTATTGTTTACTAATTTTATGGAAATTACGGCAAACCCCCTGAGGTATGGTCAAATTACGAGAAACCCCTATTTTTGGGTAATTACAGTCACCCCCTCGTTTTAAATATTTTTACTTCAAATTTATGTAATTCGGTTATTTACCGAACCAAATCGTATATTCAGATCGATAAACGGTATGAAATGTTGGCGTACCGAAATTTCGGTTTGGTTTTACAGATTTAATATTCCTAAATTTATCCCTAGTGGGGTTTTTCCGTAAGATAATACATAGTTGAGGGGGTGACTGTAATTACCCAAACATGAGGGAGTTTTCGTAATTTGACCTAAAGTCAGGTGAGTGGCCGTAATTTGCCCATAATTTTAAGTGATCGACAACTCATTGTTTTTAACAGTTTATTACATTCGTTATTTTTGCGTTATAAAAAGTGTAAATTAGAGCTATGTAAAGTTAAATTACGAAAAAATCCCTTCCGATTGGGTAATTATAACCATTCCCTCTTTACAATTACTCATTTTAGCAAAAACTTTAATATTATCGTGAATATTTCCATACAAAAAATGTTTATCTTTAGATCTTTTACGACAAAAGTTGTCCTTAAAAAGATGCAAAACGGGAAAGTTGTACAATTTAATCTCGGCTTTTCAATGCAATTTGAATCAATTCAACCAAAGTAAATGTGAGAAAATTAAGAGCAAAACAAATAAAAAAAAATTATATTATAGTGATTTTTAATTTAAATCTCTCAAAATGCAAAATAGGAATGTTGTTGCAAGTCTATTTTCTAAGCTTTACAGCAAAATTTGAATCAACCCAATTAGAGTATAAAAGTAAAAGTTTGCCAAACCAACCATTCGTCGACATTAAGTAAGACTAAGATCCAAATAAAATTTCAGAAAACACAAAATTTAAAATTTGTAGAACTTGTTTTGGCATTTATAATACAACTTGAATCAGTGCAATCA